ATATTCTGTACATTGAAGTAATTGAAGTACATTCAACTCGCGCGCGGCACCAAACACAGGACACCACCCGCTCCCGCAACCTCACACACACACACACACACACACACACACACACACACACACATAGCTCTCCCTCACTCAGTCAGTCAGTCTCGCTGTAACCACACTTGTGTTGACATCAGCATTGTAGTTGCAAAAATATTACATTTCCGTGAATGTATTATATCAAGCACAGTATGAATAGAATATCACTAATATAAGAGTATTTTAACCGAAAACTACTAAAAAAACGAGTAACATCTCTTGAACATCGGAAGGTTAGGTAAAGTCTCTTTTTTTCGTCATGTATTTTATCCTAATTTACATTGAAATACATCACGTTTCAGCAAAAGTACCATTTATTTCTGAGAACATGGAAATGTAATATTTTGCTGAAATGACGTACGTATTATAGTGGAAAGTGACGAAAGCAATGACTCGCTTTCTTTCGCTCAAAAGATGTTACCGTAATCGCTTTTCGAATGGTTTTCAGTTGTGGGATTATAAGGCTAATGATAGGATAGAATATTATTGTAATACAGTACGAGTACAACAGTTTTTTAACTGAAAACCATTCAAAAAGTGATTACGGTAAAATCTTTTGATTAACGAAAGAAAGCGAAAGTCATTGTTTTTGTCATGATTTTATCCCACTTTCCACTGTAATATGTTCGTCATTCCAGCAAAAATATTACATTTCTATACTTATTTCTGAGAATACGTATATTCATTCAGTCACAGTTAAGGTAAAATATACTTGTGATGTAATATTTTAATGAAAATACGGTATCATAGTTTTCTTTTATTTCAAATTTAATTAACAAAGATTGATGTTTCAAATGTAATGAACAAAAATTTATGTCCAGTATCTATAAATAAACTTTAATAAATGAATACTTTATGTTTTACATTGTCCTGTGCTACCATACCATGGATTTGGCTATTTTGGGCTTGCTATGATGCCGCAAGAGATCTGCCCTGGCAACTGTACCAACACTCACAGCTGGTGGTGCGTTGGTGCATCGTTTCCATTGTTTACTGGTAGTTACTGGTAAATATTATTCAACCTAACGAAACTATTACCCTTTTAGAGGTTGACCCCCAATTTTTTGCCAAATAATTTGGTCTTAAAAACTCGAACTATACACAGGTATATACGGTAAACAAGGACATGGAGGCCAGGGTTTTTTTTTTGGGGGGGGGGCAGCACATATACGCGGATTTTTAACATCCACGGCTATCTCTGTTACGTAACCCCCGCGTATGTTAAGGGCCGACTGTGTGTATATATATATATATATATATAAATATACATATGTGTGTGTGTGTGTGTATTACCTTAAAGAATTTGCCCATGGCCTTATAGTCAAGACCATCAGAGCAGTTGAAGATGATACACTGCTTGGCCACAGCCTTAGCCAAGTCCTTGCATGTTTCTGTCTTGCCAGTGCCAGCAGGACCTTCAGGGGCCCCTCCCAGGTGCAGCTTTAGTGCCCCCATGAGTGTCCTGGTGCAGCAGGAAGGTTGGTAATGGCGCGAAATAATATTCAGCCTCATTTCTTGGACAAGGTTTTACTCCAAGACCATCGAGCAGTAATATAAAAAGTATATACAGTATATAATATATCGCAGTCAGATGGACAAAGTGAAACACGTGAGGAAGATAACATGAGGACTGAACTATGTGAAGCATGATAGAAAGATAACAGGAGGAGTGATGAATAATATGAAGCATGATGGAAAGATAACAAAAAGACTGATGAAGATGACTCATGACAAGAAAATAATAAGAGGCTTGACGAACAATGTGAAGCATGCGAGGAAGATGACACAGTCAGGATGAGGGTGGGCTGGGAACAGTGATAGTGGATACCTGAAGCAGCGGTCGGTGAGAGGTGTGATGACTAGCCTGGAGGTGTTACCCAGGTACTCATATCCGTACTGGAGTCGTGTCATGATCATGTCCACCTGTACCAGCTCGTTCACCCAGTAGTAGCGCATCTGTGACACCCATGTAAAGTCCGTTACTGAGGCAGCACCCTTCTGGATCAACTCTTGCACCACATCACGTCCTGGGATTGAGGAAGGTTGGGATCACTTGATGATTTGGCACCCCAGCTTTTTTCAAATGATGACTAAATACCCTAACACTGTCTGGAGTTGTTACGTTAGATTATGTGAGGTTGAATTAGGTCAGGTGATCTGAAGCTCGTAGACACACTCTAAGGTATGAAAGTACACTTCATACCTCGGAGTTAATTGTGTCTATGTGTGACACAATCCATATTTATGTACAGTAGAATAATCAGTAACTCATTTATCAAAATCTTATGATAAAAAGGAGTATGCGAGAGAAATGACAGACCATGGACGTAGGTAACAATGAGGGCTCCCAGGGTAAGTCGGGTACCGTGTTCCAGCTTTCCTCGCACCATGCCCACTACCTCCTGAATGCGAGCGTCACACACTTCTAAGTACTCCTGAAGCCGTGCAAATTTTTTTTATTAACAGCTTATAACATTTAAACCTTGACAACTGTGCACTGTATATAGATTAATGATAATGGTGTATGATAAATCCTTGACAATTGTGTACTGTATAATAAGTGAGTGTGATGATTAAATATTAGATAATGGTGATGATCAGTTAATCATTGATAAGCATACATGATAGACCTTTCTTAATAGTGTATTTTCTCCTGTTAAGCATAATTCTCTAAAATAATTATCTAGGGGTGATTTCAGAGGTTCAAAAGTGGCACAATACTGTTTTTGGAGCCTCCACGTGTGAGAGAGAGAGAGAGAGAGTAAAATAAGACATCTGTCCTGCATCTTTGAGTCCCTTAACTAACCGCTAAACATATATTAAATTCTGTCATATAATGAAAAATTAAAACAAACAAATTAATGAAGAAGATAATAATAACAGCAATACAAGTCAAGTAAGATATGAAGTAATGCTATGATGGTAGAGCCTTGGGGACCTACTTTGAGTCCTCCTCTCTTGGCTAGGATGGAGGTGACATCAGTAGTCCATACAATCTGTGCCACCGTAAGCACCACCTGTGATGGCCACTGAGTGATCCATTGGCAGTGTGGAGTGAGTGGATGGTTCTCCACAGCACGCACTGCTACATCTTGTACACTCTGTACCATCATCTCTTCCACCTCCACCAGCCATCGCTCCACCAGACCCTGAATGATGCAAGACAAACATTTGTGTTTGTCAATATTTGTATCAGTCTTAAAGTTTTCTTCCTATCTTTTACAGGTTTATAATACTTAAGTATAGTATACAGTATTCGACTTACGACAACCCGGACATACGACGGCCATGATCGTATAAAATATTTTTCACATTACGTATTTTCGAGTCCCGACGTTAGTTATCAAGCTGTGTACTGACAAAATTTTACTTTGTAATTCCCTTTAAAATGGCTGGCAAGTGTAAAAGTGGAAGTTCTGGAGGTGCTGAGAAGAAAAAGAGACACCCATTTCATAACAATTACTGCATTGTATATTATCAATATGTTAACTAAATTTCAGAATGACCAATAATTTTAATGTAAAAATGCAAAAATATTCAAGAGAACAAACCCGATGTTCACTCCACTGTAAACAAAGTTAAACTGAGAAGCGTTGGTGAACTTGGTGGGTGATTCGATCAGCTGATGGGCGCACAAAAACTGTTCCCTGTAGTGTATATACTATCAATATCTTAACTAAATTTTAGAATGACAATTTTAATAAAAAAAATGCAAACATATTAAAGAGCACAACTTTCTTGATATTTACTCCACTGGAAACGAATGTAAACATAGAACAGATTAGTGTATTGGCGGACTAGCTGATTAGCTGATCTGCTGATGCGCACAACAAAACATGTTTGTCGTAAGGCTTTCGTTAATCAAAGTTTTGTTCGATAATCGAACTGAAAATCCTTATGGGAGCTAATTCGTTAATCGAACGGTTCGTTAACCAAGGGACCACTGTGTGTGTGTGTGTGTATGTGTGTGTGTATATATATATATATATATATATATATATATATATATATATATATATATATATATATATATATATATATATATATATATATATATATATATATATATATATATATATATATGTACTGTATATATATTTCATGTAGATCCACAAAAAAAACGTGGATAAGACAAATATATATATACAGTGACCCCTCGTTTAATGAACACCTCGGTTAACGTAATTTCGATTGACGAACTGCCTTCCATAAGGATCTTCAATTCGGTTAACGAAAAATAATTCGGTTAACGAAGTTCTTACGAACCGACCTCAACATGTTTTCGCTTGCACTGACCGGGCAACCAGCTTTAGTATCAGTCCGCCAATACATTAATCGGTTCTAGGGCTTAAATTCCTTACTATTTTAGCAAATATCAAGCAGTTTATACTATTCAATAATTTTAAAAGTTTAATATCCAATTTTTTAGTCATTTTAACAATTATTGAACATAATTGAAGGTAAAGTACAGGTAGTTCTGCTATAACGCGATAATTGTGTTCTTGTAAAATATCGTGTTATAGAAAATCGCGTAATAGAAATAACAGGGCTTATGGAGAAAATAGGGTTAGGTGCAGATTACTCGAAATCGAAAAAATTTAGTAGTTAGCCTAACACAAAGGATAGCACAGTCTAAATAAATGTTACATTCATATCTAATAATGAAATCATACAGTAAATTTAACACTTTACCTTGAAAAAATATGAATGTAACTTGATGGGGGAGAAGGGTGATTTTGAGGTTGATAACATCAAGCTTCTCTTCAAGTGTTATATCCTTTCTTTTACGATAATCACCGGGAATTCTATCATCAGAATGCTTTTTGGAGATATTCTTCTTTACCATATTCACAGTTAATACCACAAAATTGGAGAAATAGTAAGCAAAAATCGCGTTATAGCAAACAAGCGATCGCGTTATACAAATATTGTTCCGAATTCATAAATCGCGTTAGAGCAAATTCGCGTTATCAAAACACGCGTTATAGCAGAACTCACTGTAACTAGTTTAATGCGCGGCATCCAGCCTCTTAACACAGCAAACAGGAGTTAGTCTCTCTCTGTTTTCACTGGAGGTAACATCTTGCTTGAGACTCTCTTCAACTAAACGCTTTTTTTCTGTGTTTCCAAGCAAATTATTGGTCATTTTGAAATATATTTTACATATTGACAATATATAATGCAGTGCAGTGTTGATTTAAAGAAAATAATCTTGAATTACACCAAGAGAGCTAAAATTTTATGGGTGAAATGGCGCCATGGGGTGACTTCTCTTCCACCCCAATGCCTTCTTCTTCCTTCTCCTCCACCCCCATTCTAAATCCCATCATCATCATCATCATCCAGGAGCCTTCTACATACACACCTCAAAGTAAGTGAACTTTTCTACCATTTTTGTTGAACTTCGGAAATTTTCGGTGAGCTGGAACCAATTACCCAAAAACCCATTGAAACAATGGTTTCGGTTAACGAACGACCTTCTGGAACGGATTGAGTTCGTTAACGGAGGGGTCACTGTATATATATACACCTAAACCCCGACTTACGACGGGGTTAGGGACCCAAATCCAGGTCGTAAGTCCGATATGGTCGTAAGTCCGATATAGATAAAAAATAAAATAAAAATAAAAAAAATTTTCAAAAAAAAAAAAATTCAAAAATTTTTTTTTTTCAAATTTTTTTTAAAAATCTACAATGAAATACAGTACACTAAACGTAAAAAATAATGAGGACTGGATACAGTACAGTAAAAGTAATAAATAATGAGGAATGGATACAGTGTGACTGAGCACTTACCTTAAATGTAGTCAGCTGAATGCACACGGGGCCCCCATAATTTTCTATTTACAGGATACATGGAGACTATATTAATTGGAAGAAGCAGAAGAGGAGACAGGGCTGGGTGGGTCATCAATGTCGCTTCCTTCAGACAGGTTTATGTACTGTGGTAACTTGCTGGTTGAAGGTATTGGATCATCTTGAGGGAGTGAAGAGGCAGCACTGGTGGGGCGTGAGGAGCCAGTACTGGGGGACTTCTTGAAATAGGTGTCCAATTTAGACTGCACAGTTTTCTTTTTCTTTTCATTATAAATTTCTCTGTAGCAAGCAAGTGAATCTTGGATCATTCTGTCAACTTTGGCATAACGCTCATAATTTTGATCCATGTCATCAAACATTTGCATTGCTTTATTAATTGTAGCAAATGCCTCTGCCATATGTTTCACTGAAAACTTTTTGGGGGGTGCAGGCTCTTCTTCTACATTTTGTCTCTCTTCTTCCTCTGCAACTTTCTGTGCATCCAGTTCAATAAGATCCTCGTTACTGAGCTCTTCTGCTACACTTTCAACCAACTGTCCAACATCTTCAGTATCAATTTCTAACTCCAGCTGTTTACCTAAGTCCACTATCTTGTTACTAATATCCAAAATAACTTCACTTTCATTAAATCCTTTGAAACTGTTCACATATCTTTTCAGGATTTTCTTCCATATTCCATTCATGCAATGTTTTGTAACCTGATCCCATGCTGCACTAATGTTCTTTATACATGACAAAATGTTGTACTCCTTCCAAGACTGTCTGAGCGTTTTCTCACCTTCAGTAGCAGCAACAGCCTGAGCGAAGGTCGTGCGTAAATAATATGCTTTAAAGGCAGAAATAGCACCTTGATCCATGGGTTGGATGATAGAGGTAGTGTTAGGTGGCATGTACACTACCTTAACATCAGGGTGCATGTCGTCCAGGTGTGGTGGGTGTCCCGGAGCATTATCCAAAATCAGTAAAATCTTGAATGGAATCCTTTGTTGCAGACAATACTCCTTGGCTCGTGAAATGAAACAAGTCATGAACCAATCCTCAAATAGTACTAGGGTCATCCAGGCTTTCTTGTTACTGCGATAAAACACTGGCAGTGTGTGCTTGCTGACATGTTTAAAAGCCCTGGGGTTCTCTGAATGATAGATCATGAAGGGCTTTAGCTTGAAACCAGCAACATTCCCCCCCAACAGAAGTGTAATTCTGTCCTTGAATGCCTTGAATCCGGGCATTTTTTTTGCCTCTTTGTGGATGTATGTCCGGTCAGGCATGCGTTTCCACAATAATCCAGTCTCATCCACATTGAATATTTGCTCTGGCAAATAATTCCCTTCCACAATCACATCATCTAACTCCTCCTTAAAAGCTTCGGCAGCACCAACATCGGCACTAGCTGCCTCTCCACTCACCTTAACACTGTGTAGACTGTAGCGTTTTTTAAATCTATCAAACCACCCTTGACTTCCTGTAAAGGTTTGATCACATTCATCTCCTGCCTGCTCCTTCAGGCTTTGGAACAGGCTTCTTGCTTTAGCCTGTATGGTTAGAACACTTAAGGGTACACGCTTCTGCATCTGGTCTTCTATCCATATCACCAATAATTTTTCCATATCATGGATAGGACCTTGTCTTTTCTTTGTTATTATAGTTCCCTTTATAGGTGTTGTTCCTGTCACTACTTCACGAATACATTCCTTGTCCTTCAGAATAGTGGATATAGTCGAGTGTGAGAAACCTAGGTCGCGTGAGATTGTTGCTACTGTTTTTCCATTCTCATACTGTGTTATTATCTTCAGTTTCATCTCAAAAGTAATTGCCTGTCTCCTTTTCCTTGGAGTACCACCAGCACTCTCACTTTTACGCTTTCCAGTCATTATAAAGTCAATTAAATACAATAATAACGAAAGTTCACAGCGCGATCAGTATAGGATACGATAGCCAAACACAAAGCGCTCCACTGAGTGAGTGCAGCCACGAGGCGACCCAAGACACCCCTCCCTCTCGCCCGGGACGGAAAAGTTTCGGTATAGAAAATGCGCGCGTCATTTGAAAAAAATTTTGGTCACGGCGGTCGCAGTCGTATGTCCCGTATGGACGTATGGTCAAAGCAGGTCGTAAGTACCATTGGACGTAAGTCCGTATAGTCGTAAGTCAGGGTTTAGGTGTATATTTATCTTATCCACGTTTTCATTGTGGATCTACATGAAATATATATATATATATATATATATATATATATATATATATATATATATATATATATATATATATATATATATATATATATATATATATATATATATATATATATATATAT